GTAGCATTTCTCATCCAGCATATAATGTTACATCTTCTTCACTCATGCTGACTAGGATATTACTTCCTCTCCTTTCATGCTGCAATAGGATGTTACTTCTCTTATCCACAGTAGGATATTACTCCCTCTCATGCAGGATAGAATGCCACTTCTGTCATCAGAAGTAAAATCCTCTCGTCTACAGTAGGATGTTACTACTACTCTCACCTGAATGTTTATTCATGATAGTGTATCAAAGGAAATAGTAGAATTAAAAATATTACATCATAACTAAGCAGCCTAAAACATTTCAATGGAATTCTGAAGATAATGTGCATTTAGATCAATTAACGACAATTTAATTTAGTACAAACAACATTTATTTAACAAAGATACTGACAATCTTGTATGACACAAAGTAAAATAATTAAGTCACTTTGATTATTAGTAAATAGTCAGGTTCTGAGTGAAGATGAAAAGCTACTTTTTGACTGAGACGCTCAGTTGTGCCGTCAGGCAAGGTCCACTGTTGTCATTGGCATGACTGCCCTGTCAGGCAAGAGGAATAATGGTATTGTTAATATCTTTATTTACAAAAAGATTAATTGGGTTTTGTAAATATTGTGGTGTCCATATACTGTACTATAATATAGTTCATCCTATGGGTTCCCATAACCAGGGACAGGTAGTCTATTAAGCTTGTCTACATCATCCCCCCCCCCTTCCCCCTAGGCCAGCAATTGATACAACCCACAGCAGTTGCCTAATTCCGAATTCCGGGGTACTTGTATACTGTTAGGTGAATGAAGGCATCGGGTGAAAGAAAACCATCTCTGCCTGTGGTTCAAACCCAGGATTGTAGTAGTTTGATCATGTCAGGATTGTGAGCCCAGAATATAGACCACTTTGCTCTTTGTATTTTTTCAGTAGTTGGCTACAATTTAATTAATAAAGCAATAAAGTGGGCAGTCTTGTAAAACCACTTATAGCTTCGTGTTTGGGTCATACTGATGCAGAGAGAACTTAAAATATGGAACTTGCTCTCTATTTAAAAGAATTGCACAACATGTTCAGTAAGTAATGCAAGGAAATGACTCAGTAAGGATACTTACTTTCTTTAGATATTTCCTTGCTTAAGTAACTTGTGTCCCAATTGATGTAGCCCACTCAATTGAAACTATCATTATGCAATCTTCATTATTAACTCTCATTTACTTACTTACTTGTGCTACTGATTCACATATACTGTATCTAAAAATATAACTCCTCGAGTATAAATGTTCAGTATCACTAAATTTCATTGGTACTACTCTGATATATTCATTGCCAAGATTAGTACGTGTAATCATCTTAACCATTATATATCCACCAGCACCAAGTAATTTGATTGAATACTTTTATTAACTTCAAAATCATTTCAAATTCTCACTGTATACTTCAAATCATTATCTTTGCTATTTGCTATAGATGTTTTATGAGAATGTACATAACTTAACCCACAACTTAGGTAATAATTATATTAATCCAGCTGTACTTATTTACTGTACTGAAGTAATGGTTTCCCATTGTTAAGAACAGGAAGCCTGTTTGGCTTATAGAAGTACCCTTAGTCATTGGCCAGGATGCAATCTACAACACTTGTTTAACTCACAATACCTGTTTACTACTAGGTGAATAGAGGCATTACATATGAGGAAACTTGCCCAAATATCGTGCCCTTCCTGGGAATTGAACCCACGACTAATGAGGTGCGAGTTGGCATCGTTAATTGCTGCAGTCTGGTAAGTAACCACTGAAATTCTTACAAAACCCAAAGTATGATTTATAAAAAACTTTATAGTGAGCAGGTGGCAGCACTCCTTATTCGACACATTTGGTGGTCAAATTGGCAATATGATGGCCTAAGGGGAGGCCTGGTCGACGACCGGGCCGCGGGGACACTGAGCCCCGGAAGCACCTCAAGATACAATGATGTAGCCTGATAAGCATTCAAGCATTTTCTTGCACTGCACCACACTTCTTCAGTGTCACTGCTGTTTCTCGTGAATTTCTTTGTTTTTCTTATTATTTAAAGCACCTAATGCTCATTGCCATTGCTTCCTATAGGGCAAAAACCACTTCATCTGGACTCTGGCCTAGATCTTTCTAGTTCCCTTTAATGATATTTTAAAAAAAGGCCTTTAAAATTTATCCTTTCCATGCATTGCTAAAACCAATCTCTCCTCTCGACACAGTGTTAGATTCTGTGCCTAGATTGGTTTTTGATGTCTCCCTAATTTATGTGGAATTGGGTTGGAGAGTTTCTTGCTCTGCTCCTGCATTATGTTTGATCTCATTTGGATGGGATGCTTTGTACTAAGGCAATGTTGCTGTACAGTGATCATGCTCTATCAACTACAGAATTATACATGTGCTCATGATTTGTGTAGGTTTGCACCCTACAAGCAGTCTTCTCCTTCATGTCCTATGTTGATATCAGGATCTGGGAAGTTTGAAGGTTAAATTTAACATTTCCAGCTTGTCACCAGTGTGTGTTTTCCTGCATTTATGAGCAGCTTTTTTCCAGATGACCAGCTATTCACGTTAGGTTGTCGGTACTAGGATGTTTCGGCTTCCTGGTATGCATATTGCCTTCCCCTGAAGTTCCCTGTGACACTACTCGCCAGCACAGGTAAGTTCGGCTTTTAAGCTCTACAAGCCACAATGTTTGACAGAAAACAGGAGATACTGCTACCATAAATGCCAAGACATTAGTGCAGTCAAAATTTAATTGAAAAAAACATCCTCAGGTAAATGGAGAGACCTTTGACAAGTTGTTGGCTACCTGTCACTAGATAAATGGTGACCCTCAGGTAAATATTCTTGCCTAAAGAAACATCCGAGTGGTACAGCTACTGTACTTAGTCAGCAAGAAACTCTGATGTTCCCATTGCTCTCTTTTGGTCCTGCTTGTAACACATTTGCCTGGCATTTCACGAGCACTTTGGCCTGGGTTCATATCATGGCCGGGGATGATTTACTTTGTGCCAATCCTTAACTGCAGCCTCTGTCCACGCAGCAGTGAATGGGTACCTGGTTGTTAAATGATTTGGCGGGATTGTATTCAGAGGAAAAATTAGGATTAAGGACTTGCCCGAAATTCTATGCATGCTAGTGGCTGTAAGAACTCTTGTACGTATAAATAAAAGTGATTAGCCAGAGTGCTCCTTGCCAGACCCACAAGGAGACTGGCAAGGTGCTATTAATGCTAAATAGTGCTTAGAAGGGCTTTGAATATACCTGAATGACTGCTACCTGTCATTCCAAGCTTGGCTTGGCCCAGTGTCTACCTTACAACATATGACCAAAAAGGGTCATAGAAAATAGCCCTGTTCTTTTAGTACCTAATGCTGACCTGTTCTGACTGTGCATAGTTCAGTCTATGGAAACAACAGGACCTTGCCTAAGGCATCAAACGAGAGGTAAAATTCAAAATCTAAGTGCAGACGATGAGTCACAATAACGTGGCTGAAGATATGAAGACTAAACCACACACCAGAAGAAGAGGAGACGACAATGTTTTGGTCCATCCTGGACCATTGTTAAGTCGACTGTGATGGTAGCAAGGGAGGCACAGGCATTAAGTAAGGCAAGAGAGGTGAGGAGGAGGAAATTCCTAGAGGAAGGTAAGAACAAGTTGAAAGGTATAGATGGGATGGGTGTAAGAAGTTGGAGCAATAATGGGTATAAAAATGAGAATGTAAGAATAAGAGGATTACGGGCTATTCATGCCCGTGCCAACTCGTGGGTGGCTTAATCTTTATCAATCAATCAATAAGAGGAGAGAGAAAAAGAAAAAGGGGGGATAGGCTTATGTTAGGTCACGTTTGTTAGAAAGGTTGGAGCATCTGAATATATACTGTGAAAGGGAAGAGTCAATAGCAACAAAGCCAGAACTAAGGTTCATGTTGTGTATCAGAGCCGAGTCAACAAGACGGCGTCTGTGTAGAGGCAGGAAAGATTATTTTAGAAGAACAATCAATAGGATGATTAGAATCCCTAACATGATAAAAAGAGAGCATTGTTTGTGTCTGCAGACTTAACACTTCAAAATCTAGTTAAACTTTGAGTACTGTACAGTACTTACCTTTGCGGTCAAGCTGTCTATTTCAAAATTATCATAATCAAAACTTTACCCTGATCCTGCTACAAGATTTACAAGAAATTTTATGGAATTTCTTCAATAATTTGAATGGTAGCATTTGAGAGTACCACAAAAAGCAGAAATAATTATGCTACTTAAAATCTGAACCATGTACTGTAATTAGGTTAACTGATGTGTGCCGGCTTTTAAAAATGTAGTTTACTTCTTTTACAGTATATAAATAAATTAACAAACTAGTTATTTAAGTAGCATTTTTGTTTTAGCAATTTGAGGTATTCCCATACATAATATAATACTGTATATATATAGTATATATATATATATATAATATATATATATATTTATTCATCAAATCATTGATGAACACAGTGCAGGAATAAAATTAGCATACAACATATTCATAACCAAAAGTGATATAAACCATTAAAACATTTGTGTAATTGAATTTAAACATTCCAAAGCCACATGGGAAATATGTGGCATAGTTTAGATAAACATACATGCTCTTTATTCACCTGTTTTGATATCTATTTTGCAGTAACAATGGCAATGTTACTTAATTGAAAGCTGTTAAATATAGCAGCATTGATTCTGTGTGTGTGTTTGCTTTCCAAGAACCTTATCTATTCTTTAAAAATAATATTGTAATAAAAGTATTGTTTTACCAAAGTTCATAACTAATTTGTTTTTCTTTTCTGGTTATACACAGCCAAATATATATTTAAAAATACTGCTAATTTTGTTTGGTAAATGATTACAAGTAGTTTGTACAGCAGCTGTGAGTGCTCTTGTGCACACCGTATGTAGCATTAGCAGTGTGACCACACAGTGAGGAACTACCGTCACGCTCACATTATTCAAACCGTAATACAGTATAAGCTTGAGTAATTCCACTTTATGTTTTGACACTTTATATAGTAGTCTTTTTTTTTTTTTTACTCAATTGTCCATAATTGTATTATTAAAATGTCCAAGGCCTTGACAACCTCACGAAGAATTACTATGAGCTCATTTGCTAAGCTTTCTCTCAACACTAGAGAAAAGAGGGTCATTCTTGAACAGTATCTGCTGGGAATACAGATCTAAGAATGAGAGATGCAGGTCTAGAGGATGGTTTAGATGGTGGCCTTGTTTGTTTACTTTCCCCACTGCCACCATCTGCCACTCCATTCCCTGTCGTTTCTAACTCGTCTGGTACTGCAGATCCATTGAGCTTGTGGCCTAGTTCCACATCTGCATTTGTTTCCTCCGCTGAACAATGCTTGGGTACTGACACCACGTCCACTTTGGGTTCTGTCTTGTCGGCATCAGTGCGAATGTGTGTAAGGGTGTAAAGATTGCCCATGAACATATACTGCTCACGTACTGCTTCATCTGGTATTCGTCCAGGCTCGTTGAGCCCATCATCATCCTCATCATCTTCTGTAATGTCTCCAGAACCACACGTATCGTCGTCAGGGTGTCTGGAATTGTATTGCATATTAGAAAGTATGAAATAACGTGTAATGAGACTTAAAAGATGCACATGCTGCAAAACAGTTTTTATTAGATTGCCCACAGATATTCTACATGACATTCTGCTTTAAAATATGATTAGCAGTGAAAAATGCAAACACAGTTCTCCTGAGCTATTTGCATAAATATATAAATACAGTATTTGCATAAATACATAGTCCAAAATATCTGTCAATGAATATACAGAATTCAGTGAGCATGGCCTGCAAATACATTTTACAATATACTGTACTATACTCTACAGCTGAATCACCTTTTTGAATGTAGGGAATCCCCCAACTTACAAGGGTAATGAGTTCCTAATTTTGTTATAACTTGGAATTGGGAACATAATTTACCATAGGTGTTGCTATAAATGGAAGATAGGTTCCCTAAGAACAATTGACATATTTAACAAAAAACATTTAATATAAATAATGTTGAATAAACATTGATGTTATTCACTTTGAATGCTGGAGTTACCTTTCTTACTGGATTTGATTATTACTGAGAGAGAGATGTTTAATAATAAGTGTAGGGTAAGGAGGAAGAATACAACCCTAGTTTTTTCATGTTGGAAATAATAGCTGTACATTTTGATATTACAATACCCCCACAATTTGTATGGCCTCTTTTATACCGATCTGCCGATAATAATGACCGGTTTGGGAGACCGGTATTTAGAGCCTCATATAACGGTCTGGCGGTCGGTATTACCGAAGGTCGGTATTGGGTTTGTCTTGGCATCAGAGGGTCCTCGGGATATAGCCGAATTCAGTAGTGCAGAACTGCACATGTTCTAACCTTACTTTTCATACTCGGACTGATTGTCGAGTGGTTTACTCCATACATATGTTAAATCTGTGTTAATATTTCTCCTTTATGATTATTATTATTAATATTATTATTACTAGTATTGTTTTTAATGATAATTTGTCCATTGTTATGGTAACTTAGTTATGATGTGTCACTACAAACATTTATCTTCCATGATTAAGTTTTTTTTTTTTTTTACTCAAATTTTTTTATAATTAATCTTGGATTTCATACCACTCTTGAGGTGAAGCACCACAAAACTGCCAACTGAGTACTGTAAGTGTTGGCATCTGTCATAAGTACCTTTGTGATCTATATTATCACATATGATACCATATTAAAACAATATACATATTGTTGTTTTGTTGAGGACAGGAGACCTGTTGAACTTATAAAGGTCCCCCCCCCCCTAGGTCAATGTCTGAGTTTATCCAGGATGCCATCCACAAGTTGTCCAGCCCATCCTCCTGTTTAGGTAGTACTGTACTTGTAGTACCGATGACGACCATCGTACATACATTGACGTAAAGGCCAATTAGAAAGTAGAAATCATTACTATTGAATTTGGACAAACTGGAAAAGTTTTTGTATTGATGTTGCAAAGAAAACTGAACCTAATCTTACCTAAACTTCCTAAACCTAATATAGTACATACTATAATAATATAGTACATACTATAATATAATATAGTAATACTATAGTACATACTATATAATATATGTGCAATACTAGACCTAGAAATATTTCTAGTTATTTCATAGTTATAGTATGTTTCTTTTCACCTGATGCCTCTGTTCACCTAGCAGTAAATGGTTCCCTGTCATGACCACTAGAGTGGCCCCCTTTCAGGTAAATTCAGGTATGTATACAAGATGCAAAGACAAAAACTATCAAGAAATGAAATTCTTGGATGACTCCAAATACACAGGTAAACACGAGTTATTCTTTCAGATAAACTACCAAACATGGTAGCAATGTTTTTGATATAAAGACAAACCAGTTGCATATAATAAGCATGTTGAGTGTTTTTTTTTTGCAGTGCAAATGTGTGGTAATGCCAGATCACAGGACAGGTGCGTGTCACTCATCACATCAGTCGTCAGGGTTCCTTTCCCTTAGTGCCAATGTGCAGTACAGGTCACAGAACAAGTGCTAGTGCTACATGTCACATCAGCCATCAGGGTTGTTTCTTAACAGTGCCAATGTGCAGTACAGGTCAAAGAACAGGTGCTAGTGTCACTCATCACATCAGCCATCAGGGTTGTTCTCCATAATACAGGTGCTGGTGACATTAATAATCACATCGGCTGTCAGAGTTGTTCAACATACAGGTGGTGGTGTCACTCGTCATATCGGCCATCACGCGCTAGTGTCACATGTCACATCAACCATCAGGGTTGTTCTCCATAATACAGGTGCTAGTGTCACACATCACATCAAGTGCTACATAAATATAGTCAGTCCCTGAGCTTACACTGCTGAACACAACTGGTGAAGCTTTTGGTTGTGGTCGAGAAATGCTGATCTCGTTAGTCACAAGGCAGAATCCTCTATCCGAGGCATCTCTGCAATGAGAAGTTCATTTTGTATTTTGTTTATGGTTATAAAAGCTAGGACAAATATTCTTCCTTGTTCACCAAAATAATACAGTACATTTATTTTCTTCTGATAAGAACCAAAAAATATACTATACAGGTAATCTTATTATTTTATTAAAAATTGTATGCTTCCATAAATTTATTCCACATGATTCTTCCCTGGGGAAGAAAAATCCCAAACATGCAAGAAAAGAATGTGACAATGTTTCAAGCCCATCCTAGACCCTTATCAAGTGGCAACTCATAAGGGTTCAAGACGGGGTGTAAAGACGCCTTTTTCCTTTTAGGACACATCAAAACATGATTTTCTCCTTCCTTTTCATGCATGGGATGGGTTATTTATTTTCAGTCATATTATTGTGACTTATTCTCTGTATATAGTATCAAGTACTCATATTTACCTGAATTTATCTTAGGGGCCACCATCTCTAGTGGCCTTATCGGGGACATGAAGCTGGCAGCTTGTCAAAGGTCCCCCCATTGTTCCTGAGGGTCCCAAGAGTTTTTCACAATTGGATCTTGAGTTGAAGTAACTTTTTGGCAATTGCAACTTCAGCTGACAGGGTTCAGCTTCCCCCCCCCCCCCAATCCCTATCTTGATCCCTTCCAAGTGTTATATACAGTAGTCGTAATGGCTTAGCACTTTTCCCCCTGATGATTCCCACACCCATAGGGTTTATAACCCTGTGGGTGAAAAAGCATCTCCTTTTTCCTGTCCTACATTGTGGCTTGTTGAACTTTAAGCTGTTGCCCCTTGTATGCATTACATTTGACTTTTTAAAGAAGTGGTCTGAATTAATATCCTCCAACATGTTCAGTATCTTGAAAGTCTCAATGAAATCAGGCTCTATCATGTCTGATTTGCAGTACTGCTAGTTCTGTGGCCCTGAACCATTCCTGGTATGAGAGTTGACTTAGTTTTGGAATGATTTTTGTCGCTCTGTGTTGAACTTCCTCCAATGCAAATGTGTCCTTTTGAAGGTGAGATCTCCATGCTTGGACAGTAGTCCAAGTGGGGTGCACCAGAGACTTGTAGAGATGAACAACCACTTTCTTTTCCTTGAAGTCAATGAATCATTTGACTATTCCTAGTTTTTTCTTTCCTCAGCTCCCTTGTTTATTATGCAACTTTCGGTTACTGGTGGAGTCTAACTCCTACATCCTTTTCATCAATCATGTATGACCCTGCTACCTTTTGAAATTGAGTTTGAGGCTGGGGTCATGAGAAGTAAGCTAGATGTGGTTAAAAAAATTTGCAGACATGTTCATTATGTAGTTGTCTATTATATTATAGGTTGAAATGAAATTTTTATTAAGTGAAATTAGACTATAGGCTAGTTTCAGGATGCCTTCAGATGTAATTTCCTATGAAATGCATTCTAAGGCATCTCTAGTTGCAACGAATCCCTCACTGCAACAAACTGGGGTTGGTCTCATATAGTTCATTGAAATCAGGTTGTACAGTATACAAACACGTTTCCTGTCTCTGCCAAAACTAATTATTTTTATTATTATGCCAATTATATTACTGGAGATGTTAGTTACTACCAAGTCTCTTTGTAGACATTGCTATGATACTCTCGCAATATGGTTTGTTTATCCTCAGCATACTGTACAGTACTACTGCTATAGTGTTCTAATGTTTCTATTCCAGAGAAACTCCAAATAGATTCCAGAGGGCATTTCTGGCTAATGAGTCTAGCCTTTATAAACACCCCTTTTAAATTAATCCTCACACAGATCTGTTTTTTCAGTGTGTTGACGGTATGTTTTGGATTGGAAACGTACATGAGGGCAAATTGAGTTAAATCTGTTGTGGTGATATAGGCCTACCTTTGGGTGCAGTGAGTGAAAACTCAGTTGTTGGAGACATACCTGAGGGCGAGGTGAGCAAGACTGGCACCGTAGGAAATGTAAGGTCAGTCAGGTGAGACCTTGACTGTTTTAATCTTACCTAAAGGCAGAGGGAGTAAGCCTTTTGCTGTGAAGACAAACTGAAGAGACTGGAGTGGGTGACGTGAGTTACATGGGCAGAGTGAGGGAGGCCTCTACTGGTGAGACTTAAGCCTACCTATGGGTGAGGTTTCAGATGTTGGAGACGTACCTGAAGGCAGAATGGGTGAGACCTCGGCTGTTAGAGACGGCCATCCATTGTTCAGCGTACTCCTGCAGGCGCCGCCGCCGCTCCACCTCCTCCGTCTCAGAGTCATAGTCTGGACCCTGAACAAACAAACAATTATGAGCAATGGGGGAACCTTTGACAAACTGCTGACTTCCTGTCTCCATCAAGGCCACTGAAGATGGTGGCCCTCAGGTAAATTCAGATGCAATTTATACCATGCACAATCCTATATGTAGTCTTCTTCACAATGAAAATGAGCATAAAACTGTCATAACAAATAACACTCGTGTTATTAAAGGAGAAAACTACATTATTCAGTTTAATATTGAATACATAAAACTGTATTGTAATATTATATAATTCAAGGGTGAGGGCTGTGTAGAGAAGTCACAAATCGATGAATTTATTAGGGTGCCAGCAAAGGCTCATTGCAAAAACGTGACACTTGGGCATTAAGCTTATTCTTGTAGAGAATGTCACAGTAATGTTACTGAAAATGAATAACCCAACTAATATGTGAAATGAAGTGAAAGTGATGAGGTTTCGGTCTGTCGTGAGAAAGGTCAAGTCTTTATAAGGGTCCAGGATGGACCTCATCACTTTCTATATGTACACGTATTGGGGTATAAAGTTTCTTATCTAAGCTAATCAATCGTCTCGTAAGTGAGACTGTACTGCTTGTAAATTACAGATTGCTACAAATAATCATTGTATATCTTAACTAGTTGTTAGCTTTAAGGTTTGCCTGAAATGCTAGACAAGCAACAGGTGGAAAGCAGCAGAGTCCAAGAGTTTAAGCTTGATTCTGTATGTTCAAAGAAGTAAACACAATTAGGTAAATCCAAACATTCGAGAGCACATTGGACAGAGAGAAAGAGCAGCTAATCCTATTGAACCCTAGCTTGCAAAAAAAAAATAGAGAGAAAGAGGGGCAGAGGGGAAAGTTTTGGGACCGAGTTTTGGGACTGATGAGAGGGGTGTTCCCCTCGACTCATCCTCTTCCCTAATACATTGTATTTTTGACGGAAGTGACCAATCTGCTAAAAATTCGATGTATTATAATAGTTACACTGTGACATTGGCTTTTCCTATTCATCGGGTTCGATAGGTTAGGTTGGTTGTGTGGGTTGGTACCATTCTGGATAGGCAAAACTGCTGCATTTTTTCACCCCATCTTCCTGTTTAGATAGTACCTATTGTGACAATTGTCAATAGTCAGAATTCGTACGTTCTTAGCTTTTAGATAGTAGTATACTGACTAGTAAGCAATTCTTTTAAATTAAATGAAGCTAAAACACAACTTAAATATTCCTAGTGCTAGTATAGCACACATATGTACTATATTAGGCCTCAGATATAGTGTATTAGGCCTATGGAGGTTAGGAGAGGTTTAGTTTGCCAAAGTAACACAATTAAAAAATATTTTTTTCGGTTTGTCCAACTCAATAGTTCAGATTTTTATGTTCTAATTTCGTTGTACGTCGGTAAATATACTATGGTCCTCATCGTTACTATAAGTACTACCAAAACAGGAAGATGGGCTGATTTTTGTTTACATTGACAAATCGAAAGAACGCAATGGACTGCGAACCAAGCAGATAAAATATTCAGTCTCCCTTACAAACTATCACTCACGTTTTCTATCTTCTCGTCGAGCATCATGAAGAAGTCTTGCTGGCTGTCAGAGATCTTCCTGTGGGGACAACAACACCCACATTACTAAACTGGACCCTATTAAACGATATAGACACGGATCTCCCACCTGGATATGAGGATAATTACGGGATAGGGCCAAGTCTACCACCTGAAGACGAGAGGATACTAAGGGTCATAGGTACAAGGCACCCAACAGGATATAAGGAAACTTTGCTTGGTTCCCCATAATCGAGTACAGGAAGCTTATTAGGCTTATCGAGGTCCCCTAACCCAACGAATATTGCACCAGGATGCAGCCCACAACAGTTGCCTTACCCCAAGATACCCATTTACTGCTAGGGAAACAGAAGCATCAGGTGTAAGGAAGCGTGTTCAAATGTGTGTCCATGCCCCGGGAATCGAACCCGGGTTCTCGTGGACGTGAAGTGACAGCGACTTCGACTTCAATAGGAGCCTGCTGGTATACCATTTGAGGATTCAAACAAAAAGGGGCAATGAATTAGGGCAAAGCGGAAAGACTTATGAACGTTGGGGTTATGCCTCTTCCTCAAAGGAATAGGAAAGGGAGTGGGCATACATGAGAGGGATGGCGGGGCTATATAGGACAAGACAAACGTGGGAAGGAACATCTGGAACGGGACATGACGTGTGGAGGTGATGAAGAGTGATCAGAGCAGGGAAAACACTGGCGTCGGTGTATTGATACCGTAGTTAAGGTCATTTATTATGCTCCCCCCCCCCCAAACCCATCCTGGGAGTGGTAGTGGCAAAGGTTATAGAGGCACATTATGCTAAGCATCAAATCAAATCAAATGTTTATTCAGGTAAAAGTACATATATACAAGATGAGTTACAAACTAATCCTATTGTCATCATCAAAACAAAAGCCCAGCACCCTAACCGCCTCCTCCAGAGGCATCACTAATCCCCTTCCCCAGAGGCATCACTAATCCCCTCCTCCAGAGGCACCATTAATCCTCTCCTCCAAAGGCACCACTAATCCCCTCCTCGAGAGGCAACCCTGGGTCATACTCACGCCTGGGCCAGCAGGGGACCGCCAGCACCGAATGGAACGTGCTTATTGCTCAGCTGCTGCTGCTGGTGCTTCCTGCTGGAGGAGCCGCCGCCGCTGCTGGTAGAGTCTCCGTCACTGTCGCAGTCCGAGTCCACCTCTGTAGGAGAGAGACGTCGTCAGGTGCTGTGGCTCGAGTTTTGTGGGAGTTGACGGAGGATTATGTGTGGGTGGGGGGGGGGGGGTGAAGTTGGGTAATATGAGAGTGGTGTTGTATGGGAGAGCGGAGAGTTGTAGGGGGCAAGCGATCTGAGAACTCGGTTTAAGGAGATGTCTGAAATGAATGAATATACGAGAGACGACGGGAGACATCTCCCGTTACGCAGGGTGCAGTCGCACCTCCACAGATCTCCAGTATCATCTATTGATACTGGTGATGGCTCAAAAGGGCCACCACTTACGGGTTATTCATGCCCGTGCCACCTTTTGGGTGGCTTAATCTTCATCAATCATCAATCTACGAGAGACGTTAAGAGGGACAAACTCGGGAAGACCTGTCCAGAGTAACTAGCACGCACACTCCCACACTGTTAAGCTCAACCACCACTGGCTACACACATTTTGCCATTAAAAAAAATGATCTCTTCTCCAATTACCTCATCAAGTCATCTTGGTTGAACACGAGTTTGCCAACCCTACAACTGTTGCCAGCGGAACACTGGAGACCTATAAGACCAATGACGTCCACCCCTCCACCCCACACAGGCTGGTACACCCCACAACTCTTTCCACTGGAATAATCGGGCAGAAATAATGGAAATAATGGAAATTTAGGAACAAGACGAAAACTAATGAGAAAATCCAAAGGAAAGAAAGTCACACGACTGGTCACAGGAACATGAGCCGTGTGCCACCGGCCACAGGTATCTAAATACCTTGCTAGGTAAACTGGGCATTTGTACCGCAAGACATAATACTTTTATATTATGAATACAGGAATGTCAGTGTCCTGCAACCCAGACAGGAAGTCAAGCAGGGAGGCAGGGAGGTAGGTAGGTGTCAAGCCGGCACGCAGCTAGGTTGACTGGACGACACTCTCAGGTTCGTCCAGGAGAACTGACACTAGTCTTGTCTTCACTAAATATGCCAGTTATTAACACCTCACAAGTTACACCGAAGCCCGCCTGCACGCTATAAACCCTTACACACACGCGCACAAACACTAAAGCAGGAACGTGAGGTTAGAAATATCTCCTTCATTAAAGTGTTGCTGCACCTGGCAACGTCCCATTTTCTTCTTCACCCTTGAGGTCCCTGGTAGGCACTGTTACCTTTGGTCACCGCTTTCAATATGCACCGGGGCGAGCCTTGGGGTCCTCCTTCAGCTGCTTACTCTCCAACAAGCCATCATGACGGAACGTTTACATAATCGACAGAGTATTAATTTTGGCAACTTAACCAGTGCAACAGAATTTACTTTCAGCTTAGATCCTGTTCAACCAATCTGATACGGCCGGAGGGAAGGTGCCAAAAGAAACATGTATGTTAGCAACATTTCACCAAAAACTTGTAAATAAAGCTGCATGCGACAAACGTTGAGAGATCGTGCTCTTAGTATACCAGATCCGCTTATTTCAGGTGGTGGTGGTCAGCGAGGCATTGAAGCCAAGAGGAACTATTAACAGCCGAGCTGGCCGCTCGCTCTCACGGGTTTCCACCTACTCGGCCCCAGGCGCGCTGGGGCGGCCGCCTTGCTCTCGACCACACCTCTCTTTTCTCGTGTTAGCCGCAACACAATAGAAAACCAAACCCAGGGGGAGACCTGGAGTTGTGAGAGGGCGTCACCGAGCCAGGCCCACAGGGGAGAAGAGGATAACCCACTGTAAACTCTCTACATTGGTGACGTCAGAGGTAGGCATCGTTATTAGCACTGTCCTTGTAAATGTCAGCGATATGGTTGTTTCAGGAGGGTCAGCAGTGTGGTAGTAGTGTCAGCAGTGGAGCAGCAGCATGTCAGCTGTAGCGGCAGCAGGAGTAGTGAGTTAGTAGTGGTTGGAGGAGGGGGCAGCAGGACAGCTTTATACCAGACCTGGCTACACCTGGATCACCGCCGTCCACCACCAGCAGCAGGGACCCATAGGAGGGGGAGACTGGGGAGGGGGAAGACAGGAGGAAGGAAAGGGGAGAGTGGAAGAGAGAAGGGCGGGTAATGAAGAAGGGGGAAGAGGGTAGATGTGGAGGCAAACTAAAGTGGGGGGCTGGAAGTAGATGGGTGTAGAGAGGGTGGATGAAAGCGGTGGGATGGGCAGGAAGGAGAGGAGTGGGAAGGATAGGGAGGATTGGGTAGAGTGCGAGGGGAGAAAGGGATGCAGGAAAGAGATAATTATGATACCCATCAAACAAGCCAACAGGTAATTCAGCGTCGTCCATGGTCTTGTACAACACTGTGCAAGATAATATTGGTCACTCGGTATAGTCCGGTATTTCCATTAATATTCGTACAACGAGGCGGCGGCTTATCAGACTTGGTAAGTTTTACAGTGTTGCTTTCGTGAGTGAAAAGGTGAGTGTGTGAACAAATCCACAAGGGCCATGACGAGGGTTCGAACCTACGTCCGAGAAGATCCCAGACGCTGCCTTAATCGACTTGTGACTTAATCCCCTGTGGATTTGTTCATTTGATGCATCACGCTATTGTGATTTCTGTGTCTAGTGAGGTTTTTTTTTTAAGTTTATTTTTTTGCCTAATTGACAAGGTACGGAGCTCGTACCTTGTCAAGCACAAGGCGAAGCTGGAAAGAGTTCAGAGGTATGCCACTAGGCTAGTCCCAGAACTAAGAGGCATGAGTTACGAGGAAAGGCTGCGGTAAATGCACCTTACGACACTGGAAGACAGAAGAGTAAGGGGAAGATATGATCACTACCTACAAAATTCTCAGAGGAATTGACAGGTTAGATAAAGATAAACTGTTTAACACGGGTGGTACGAGAACAAGAGGACACAGATGGAAACTGAGTACCTAAATGAGCCTCAGGGACGTTAGAAAGAACTTTTTCAGTGACAAAGTAACAGGTGGAATGCATTAGGCAGTGATGTGGTGGAGGCTGACTCCATACACAGTTTCAAATGTAGATATGATAGAGCCCAGTAGGCTCAGGAATATGTACACCAGTTGATTGACAGTTGGGAGGCGGGACCAGAGAGCCAGAGCTCAACCCCCGCAAGCACAAATAAGTGAGTACTTCCCGTCCCATCGCCGTGGACACCAGAACAGTCTGTTTTCTATTTTGTTGACACAATTTACATTTGGTCAGGTCTACATCAGCAGATAAAGAAAATTCCCAGAGATACTTGTAACGAGTCTAAGCCGAGCAGTAGTAACATCTAGAAATCTGCTGATTTTATTGGATGATCCATAGATGTGTGGTTTCTCTTGCATGATAGTATGATGATAGATGGAATTACTGGTGTCAATTTCACTTTGCTTCAGATCTACACGATTTTGTTGAAGTTCTTGGTGTACTGCTGCTCTCAGACTACTTATTGACAATACAAGATTATACATAATTTCTTATTTAAAAGCAGATTCTTTGGCTAACTCATCACCTCTATCATGCATTCGGAAGCCAACACGAGATGGAGACCACATGGAATGGACTCTGTTACCATCATTAATAATTTTGTTGTATTTGTGTCTAGCTTCAGATACGAGCATGTTACAGTTATGTCAGTGTTATATAATACAGTTCAGAGCAATTAAGGATGATAAAGTTACAATTAATGTATCAAGTTTGGAGACTTGTACACATTTCAGTGCAAGGATCAAGGCGAATAGTTCTGTCTGAAGGGCCCAGTTGTTTATACGGACTCTCCACTCTAAATGTAAGCCATCAGCTATTTGTCATTAAAGAGCAATATCTTAAGTCAATTGAAAGCCAATATTTAACAACATCCAGTGTTGTGTCAGGAAGTTAGGGTTGTTGGGTTACTTAAGTCTGTTATTACATATACTCTATATTGTGGTTGTGGAGCGGCCATTAACAGTTCTTGACTGTCGGACGATTACTACTCCACTGCCGCTTCTATTGCAAATGTTGCTCTGTTGTTCTGTTGCAACATTCACAATAGAATGTTGTATTTGGTTTGTGAATTAGATTTTGAAATTATCAACTTTGAACATTCAAGCTGGGGATCATTATTGGTTCACAAGAGACTCGATCGTATTTGGGGAAGTGAAGGAGTGGCTGTTGGCCATTGTTAATTGGCACTTGAGACTCTGAAAATGTTAACCAATGGGGTGAGTTTTAGGGTGAATATCAACCAATCAGCGGCCGGGTTTGGTTGGCTGCTGGGTATAAAAGTGACGATGAGACAAAAAGCACTTCAGTGTGTTTTACCTCACTTTTGGTATACAGTTCCAGCTTCGTCTCTTGGAGTAGAGCTGTATGTGGAGGATCCCCCCCCCCCCCCACCTCCCTCTGCTCCTTGTTGCGTCTCCCTCCCCCTTCCCTCTGCTCCTTGTTGCGTCTCCCCCCCCCCTTCCCTCTGCCCCTTGTTGCGTCTCCCCCCCCTTCCCTCTGCCCCTTGTTGCGTCCCCCCCTTCCCTCTGTCCCTTGTTGCGTCTCCCCCCTCCTTCGCTCTGCCCCTTGTTGCTTCCCCCCCCCCCCCTCTTCCCCTGGTTCCCCGTACTGGAACTAGTGAAGTGTATGGGGGGGGGGAAACTACCACTATATTTTAGATTGTCCTTGACGACTCTAAGGTTGGGTTAAGTGCACATAATGGTGCGTGTGACACTATAGCTGACCCAACCTGACCTGTCACGCTCCACCACACTTGTATCATGCCAGAGACTAGCCCTTAACCTCTGCCCTTCAACCTTAACAATTTAGTTAAATATATATTACAAATTCCTGTAAGTGTACAAGGGGGGAGGGGGGTTACTAGTTTTTAAATTTAAAAAATTTAAAACTTAATTTAGGACACGTTTTAATAACAAATTCAGCAGGCTAGATATGTCATTCTAGTAATGGGAAACTAGTGGAATTTTTCTACAAACCATGAACCAGATATTAATATTTAGGATGTCCATCCATGGTGTGGTGGACCCCCATACCCCCACCCTGTGGGTGATGGTGGTGGACCCCATCCACCCCACCTTG